TAGGGAATCAATGGATTAGTGTTATGTACAATTTAGGATGGAATATTTGGTGTTATAAAAGAAATTTACTCAAATACCAGGGTGTAATACAGGGTGTCCCAGGCTAAGCGTACATTAGAAATTTCTAGAGAACCACAATCTCTAGATCGGAGATTTTTTGCACATCATTGTTTTAAAACGAGATCTATCGATTAAAAATATTTTCAATATGGTGGCACTTCCGGAAGTTACCGGAAGTTTTATTACATACTTGAATTCTCTGTAAAATTCTATGAATATTGATTTTATAACAGTCTATACCTAACATTAACCGTTTTTGAGAAAAAAATATTTAAAATTTGTGGACGAAAGACTACCTGTCAAAAAAATTTGTATAGCCTAAAAGTCAAATTTAGAGACTACGACAGCCACTGTGATATAAAAAGTAGACATGTGGCTATCTATTTCAAAAATTAAATTGTTCAAATGTTATTTAATAATAGCCGTAGCTGTTATGGAATTGAACGATTAAAAAATTATCATAAATCATTTTTTTTTAAATGGAAACTCCCTTTTTTTATTTCACTCGTGAAAAAGGTTTTCCAATTCGATACTTTTTGTGGATATATGTTCCTATAACTAAAATAAATCGTTTTTAAGTTATTTATGATTTAGTTTGAAAACGTATATTTTTCTTGATTTTATCTAGCTTGCTTTGGTATTAAGAGTCAAACAGTCAGACAATTTATTTCTATCTGTCAAAAAAAAAACGAATTATTTGAATTTCCTATATTATAAATACTGCCTACTTGAGAGTTTAAAAACTGTATTTATCCAAATATATCTCGTATTTTTGCTCTCTAGTGATATCACAAACTAAATTAGATGTGATATCACAAACTAAATTTAGTTTAGTGTGTGGTGATATCTAATAGTTGATATTAGTAATAACATACTGTATTATTAAAAAAAAACAAAAAAATAAAACAGCTCAAAGTTCGCTTGGAAATGATGATCGATAACATACTGCCTTTTTGAACAAAGTATCACAATATCACATGGCCAGATCTATTGGTTTACATCACTAGACGTTTAAAGTTATAGGCTTCTGGTCAAAATCAAGAAAAATATACGCTTTAAAACTAAATCTTAAATAACTTAAAAACAATTTATTTTAGATAGTATAGTCAAAAAGTAATTGAGAACTTAATTGAGAACTAATTGAGAGCCTTTTCACTAGTGAAATAAAAAAGTTGGTTTCTATTTGAAAAAAATTATTTATGAAAATGTTTTAATCGCTCAATTCCTTGACAGCTGCGGTCATTATTATATGACATTCGAACAATTTAATTTTTGAAATTGATTGAATTTTTGACAGCCACATCTTCTCTTTATGATACAGTGGCTGTGGTAATAACTAAATTTGACGTTTAGGCTATATACAGGGTGGGTCAAATTCTACGCTTTTAAATGGAAACACCCTTTTCTATAGGAGATAGACAAAAACTAATATTGGTGTCTGGAGCTCAATTTTCATCAATAACATGATGGTGAAAACCGCACATCAATATCTGTTACCGTTTCGGAGTTACGGGGCGTTTGTTAAAAATGTGCATTTTTAACAAATCGCTGTATCTTTTTTACTATGGAAAATTTTGTATTTCTATAAAAACATTTCCAAAGCACCTTTTTACGTAATTTAATGGTTTAAGTATAATTTTTTTAAAATTAATAATTTAAGAGTTATCAACAGAAAAATTGATTTTTTATTTGGGACACCCTATATATTTTTAATTAACTGAAAAGAATTTAAAATTACCTTTCCAAAAATATAGCACACCTGATATTTTGTTATAATCCCCTTCGAAATACAGAATTTTTAAAAGTTCGCCACTTTTAACTAGTAGGCTTTGGACCCCTTATTGAAGATATGCCCTTAATGGAACTCGAAAACATATTTTTCCAGCAAGACGACGCACCGCCTCTGAACGCTGAAGTTATCAGCAAATTTTTGCAGCCAATTTCAAGAATAATTGAATAGCTAACCAAGATCCCAGCCGTTGGCCGTCGAGGCCGCCTGACTTAGTGCCCATGGATCTAATCCTATGGATATATTTGCGGAAGAATAAAGGTTCCTTATTCTTCCGTATAATCTAGACAAGAATTAGAAATACTTAGCAGTTATGAGAGGGTATCTTTCACCCCTACTGAGTTGAAAAAACTGCCCCGTCTGTCCATAACAGAAGACGGTCGATATGTCAAACACCTGTAGCAAAATCTCATGTCTTCGTATTTATTTTTATTGTTATTAGATATAGTTTAAATGTGTTGATGTTGGTTAAATATATTTTAAATTGTTATAAAATTCTGCATATCTTATAGCAAATATTATTTTCGTTTTAATTGATGCTCACATCTCACAGCTAGAATTATTTTGCATTACAGCCGGTGCCGTTCAAAGCCTACTTATTTAAAGCGGGCGAATTTTTATATACTCTATATCTCGAAGAGGAATCGAGCAGAATATCAAGTGTGTTATATTTTGGAAAGGTAATTTTAAATTCTTTTCAATAAATTAAAAAATATACAGGGTGTCCCATATAAAAAACCAAATTTTCTGTTGATAATTCATAAATTATTAATTTAAAAAAAATTATATTTAAACCATTAAATTCTACGTAAAAAGGTGCTTTGGAAATGTTTTCATAAAAATACAAAATTTTCCATAGCAAAAAAGTTACAGCGATTTGTTAAAAATGCATATTTTTGAAAAACACCCCGTAACTCCGAAACGGTAACAGATATCGATATGCGGTTTCACCATCATGTTTTTGACAAAAATTGAGCTCCAGACACCGATACTAGTTTTTGTCTATCTCCTATAGAAAAGGGTGTTCCCTTTTAAAAGCGTCCAATTTGACCCAACCTGTACACAAATCTATTAGCAAATAATAAAAAATATATTATCTAGAAACTAATAATAAATGAACTAATAACGGTCTTAGATTAAATTTCCAAAAGACAGCTCTTATACGATTTCTTCCAAAAAATGTTAGTGTGGACAGTCAATAAGAAATGATAGCGTAGTGAAATTTCTGGCTCTTAATTTGGACCAAAAACTAACATGGTCTATTCACATAGATATTTTATGTACAAAACTTAACAGTGCTTGCTTCTTAATTAGAACGCTACGTACAAATGTTAGTATGAATATACTGAGACTTGTTTACTTTGGCCTAGTATAGTCGATCCTACAATATGATCTGTTATCCTGGGGATCCTCCTCTCACTTTCAAAAAGGCTTTCAACTTGCAAAAAAGGATTTTAAGGTATATGCTTAATGTATCACCTGACACATCTTGTAGACCACTATTTAGAATGCATAACATAATGTCACTTCCTAACATGTACATTTAACAATTAATTTTGAATATATATACTAAAAGAAATAAATTTTAATTAAACAGAGATTATCATTCTCATGAGACTAGATTTGCCAGTGATCTACATCTACCATACTCAAGGTTGACTGTGAGTCAGAATGCACCGTCATACTTAGGCATAAAATGTTTTAATAAGATTTCTAAAATTGTGTACTTTTTCTTTTTTTGTACTTTTTCTCTGACTAGTCTTATGAGTGGCAGAAGTACATATTTATATTTATATCTGTTTGTATACTTCAACGATGAATAAAGATTTATTTATTTATATATTTATTTAAATGGTTTTTTATTATCTATTTTCGAAATTATGGTAACACAAAAGCAGCGATATTGTTTTCTTTTCGATCGTACAGTATTAAAAAAGGCCTGCTAACGGACATGAATCATTACTGGCAAAAATGGAATTCATTAAAGTCGGGTAGACGAATGTGTGCACACATACGCAGACACAGCGTGGCGCATATAATTGTAGAAAACGGTTTATAAATAGACTTGTTAAAAATTCCGCGCGCGGTTTGATGAGCGATGACGATGAAAATAATAATAGTTGGCTTTTAGCAGAAGAGAAACATAAAAGACATCATATTAGTATATTTAAAGAAGAAAACATTCGAGCAATGCGTACTGTCAGTCATGACCTATGAATGCGAAACATGGACACTTAAAATGGATATCATAAGGAAACTGCAGGTCGCACAACACTCAATAAAACGAAATATGCTAGGAATAACCAAGAGAGACCGTAAAAGAATAGAGTGGATACGACAAAAGACTCAGGTAATAGATGTCATCCACAGAGTCAAATCCCTCAAATGGCAATGGGCAGGACACCTGGCAAGAAAAACGGACAACAGATGGATCACAAAAATTACAGCATGGAACCCACGAGGAATTAAGAGACCTAGAAGAAGACCGAACCTGAGATGGGACCATGATATTCGAAAGTTCGCAGGTATAACTTCGGCCTGCATAGTCAACAATAGATAACCATGGGCCCAACTATACAAAGGGAGGCTACACCATAATTGGAAATGGTTGAATAAGCTGAAAATGTTATGTAAGTTCAATATAGCAGTTTTCTCTGTTCAAAAACAAATGAAAAGTAGTCAAATCAGTCTAGTCTAGAGGTGTGTAGTTCGTGAACGAACTAGTTCCAATGAACTATTCCGACCCCGGAATGAAAGGAACTAGTTCCTGGTTTCTCAAAGAACTAGTTCCTCAGGACCTATTCCGGGATCGAGACTGTGACCGATATATAATATGCGACGGAGACGGATCGGCCAGCGCGCGTAGCCCGATGGTAGGCAGGAGTGGGGAGTGACTAAATAAAAGACTAGTTTACGTACCGATCGGCCGGAGCCCTGGACCGATCGGCCGGATATCCCCAAATCCCTGGAGACTCGTCTTGCGTTATTCGCAGACGACACCTGTCTCTACTCCACTGCCTCGAGCAATGGAATTCAGAGCAGGCTCCAACCTTTGGTTAGAATTTTGTTGTTGTTTTTACCGAAGAGTTTTTACCCTGTGTTTTTACCTGTTTTTACAGTTTTTACTTTATTTTTCTATTTACATCAGATTTATATTTTGTAATTGCCTATCAGACAATACGTATTTAGAAAAATAATAAGAATTAGGATCGTGTTTTTTTTAAATCCTGGATATTAATTGGAACCCTTGGTAACATTACTGCTTTTGATATAAAAAGTGCATTTTGATTATTTACTTGGGTTAGGATATTAAAATATCGGTTGGATTGTACGACATAAATAGATGTAGGTATGATTATTTATATATATGTATGTATTTATAAAGCTTGCTATCTGTTTTGCATTTTCAGTTTTTGATCAGACATTTGATTTTATTTGTGAAATGCCCACAAAAAAGCTTCCAATGATTCAACATCAGTGTGTTTGCTGCATAATGGATCATTCCTGCTGAATTTTTAGATCATTTGAAGACTACATGGAAATAACCAGATAATATGTTACATTTACATAGAAATTGACAGCGAGACAATTTTATAGGCAAGTGTTAGCACTATTTGAGGCACCATCAAAGAAAGCAATAATAATATGCTTAGTCCCAGAGATATTACAGCTTAGTTATTTTGCCCTACAGGAGAAAAACCAGAGTAGTTCACTTGTAATTGCATTTTCTCGGCTCCAGTTAAAATGAACAAAGCTGGTTTTTCCTGTGGTCTTCATTTGAAATAACGTAAATAAATGTTTATACATATGTATGTGATGATTAAATTGGTGTTAAGGAAATAAAAATGTCTTTCGATATTAATATATATTTTTCGATATTAATATATACCTAGGTATAGGTATATGTATATTTATTTTGAAATAAATTACACTTTTAACAGTTTAATGGAGTTTTTAAAGCCAGTTATAATATTTATATTTTAAAAACTTGAAATCATAATGTGGATGTAATCACGCATTAAACCACAGACTAACTTATATAAGTCAAAAAGTAGATTTTAGTGTTAACTTTATATAACTTGTAAGTAAAATAATATATAAAACAAATATGAAAAAACCAACAATTCTAATGTATATATTAAAATACAGTACAATAATAGGTATCTGATATCCTCACTTAACGTAGAATAATATTCTACCCAACTCAATACTATGTCCAACATGAGTTTCAAATATATCGGGCCCTAATCGTTCCTGAAAATAGTATTTTTTTACATTGTTATACCATATTCTAAACTATTTAATATTTCAGTCACTTAAAAAGTTAATTTGTATTGAATAATTGCCTACCATTAAAGCAAATTTGGACTAGTATTCTTAATGGGCATATTCTGTGTATGGATATAGGTACTTCCTCCAGATTTTGGGTTCAACCAATTTATTCTTAAAACCTGAAACATCTACATATAAAAAATAGACAGGTTACTAATTATAATAAAATTTACCCTTAGAATTATACTTCTTTAACAAATAATTTCCATTGGTATACTTTTCCATGACAAGTAATCAACTTCCTAACATTTTTTAATTGATGTAATACTTCCTCACGATGCGAAAAGAAAATCTTTTCTTTAGCACACAAAGGACAAACGATATGTTGGCTTACTTTCAGATTAGTTACTTTTCCATAGATATCCTCATGTCAATTCAAAGACGATGAACATGAAAATGATCATCACATGAAACATCACAAACTAAAAACCTAATAAACAAGTTTATATCGAATATAGAAATAAATTTAGTGTTCTTACCTATTGTCGTCCAAATCCACGTTAATAGATAATTAATTTTTTGGATTTTTATCTTTTATTTTTAAATATATCTTTCGAACTACTGGTTTTAGTAATTATTAAATTAAACGAACTAAAAAGTCAAAAATAATAAATAATAAACAATTAATTCTCTTGTCAATTGTCAATTTTCTCCAGGTACCGAACATCATCGATAACGCACGATCTACAACGATTACTCCTTTGATCTGATTGGACGGTTCAATGACGGTTGGTTGCGTATTTTAATGTATTATGGTAGGCAGGAGTGGGGAGTGCCAGCCGTATGTTATCGGATCCGGACCTAGAGGAACTAAATAAAAGACTAGTTTACTTAGCGATCGGCCGGAGCGATCGATGCTAGGCAGGAGTGGAGAGTGCCAGCCGTACGTTATCGGATCCGGACCTAGAGGAATTAAAAAAGACTAGTTTACGTACGTATGGATCGGGCCAGCGCGATCGATGCTAGGCAGGAGTGGGGAGTGCCAGCCATATTTTATCGGAACCGGACCTAAAGGAACTATATAAAAGACTACATAGTATACGTATGGAGGGCTCTGGTGCACAATAGGTCCCCACGCATTTAACACTTTTTTGGGATTTTTTTGCAAGATTATCTTAAACTGAATATTTTTAAGCATAAAAATTGTTGGATGAATGTGTTTTATCTTTAAAAAGCGGAAAAAACGTATTTTAGGTACAGGCGACGGACAGTAAATATGTTAAATTTTCTACACGGATTCAGTAAAAACATCACATATTAGTACTTTATTACCTTATATAGACGTGGAATGATCTAATTTAAGCACAAAAATGTAACGAATCTTCTTTGTAAGCATAAAAATTAAGAAAATATATTTATTTACATCAGCTCAAGCTAGCAATTTTATGACTTTTTCGATTGACAGTTAATCGATCATCGGTATGTCATCTATGGCCTTCGCATAGAATTTGCGACGTTGTCAATAAAATTACTTTATATGATTTTCTTCTGAAATAAAGTTGTTGTGGAGGGACTTAAAACGGTAAGTTATCACTTTAGTGCAACAAAAATTGAACTGTCTAGTAGCTTATTCGTTAGTGTGGATTATTTTAAAGCAATTTCTGAAATAAAATTTGCGGATTTTTCAGGTTCTACGAAAATATAAGTTTTTTTAATATATACTGTTTTTCGACGCGTAATCAATGAAGTTTTGTCATTAGGCTCAATTAGGTTAGCCTGGTTATTTGGAAGGTGGTAATGCATTGGTTAGCCTGGTTATTTGGAGGGTGTTAATGCAATGGTTAGCCTGGTTATTTGGAGGGTGGTAATGCATTGGTTAGCCTGGTTATTTGGAGGGTGTTAATGCATTGGTTAGCCTGGTTATTTGGGGGTGTTAATGCATTGGTTAGCCTGGTTATTTGGAGGGTGGTAATGCATTGGTTAGCATGGTTATTTGGAGGGTGTTAATGCATTGGTTAGCCTGGTTATTTGGGGGTGTTAATGCATTGGTTAGGTTAGGTTAGATAGGCTGGTTATTTGGAGGGTGGTAATGCATTGGTTAGCCTGATTATTTGGAGGGTGTTAATGCATTGGTTAGCCTGGTGATTTGGAGGGTGTTAATGCATTGGTTAGCCTGGTTATTTGGGGGTGTTAATGCATTGGTTAGGTTTGGTTGATATTCTGGTTATTTGGAGGGTGGTAATGCATTGGTTAGTCTGGTTATTTGGGGTGTTAATGCATTGGTTAGGTTAGGTTGGTGGGGAGTGTTTGGAAGTACGCAGATCACATCGATTTCGGAATCTTACTGAACAAATCCGGGAAAAATATTTTTAAACAATTGTGCTAAATACTGTGTAATGATTTTATTGTCAATTTATTTTTTATAGTGTTTTTGTTTTGCCTCGTTTATTATATTTGTAATTTTTTCGTGTTCTTAAAGTGCGTACTAAATGTAAAAAAAATGAATATAAAGTAGAACGTTTTCGTCGATTTTTCACAGGGTGAGTATGGCAACACTGTGCATAACCTTGTATTTTACTGTCTTTATGAAGGTTATAATAGGGAGTTTTCGCATTGAAATGTAGTGAAAATTTGGAATTTTCAATTATTTTTTTCGTAGAAAAAGTGGTTCATCCAACAATTTTTTTCTTTTAAACCATTCCATTAACTATGGGATCCACATTAAAAATTAAAAAAACCACGATTTCGTGGGGACCTGTTCTGCACAAGACCCCGTATGGAGCAGCATGCGCCACTGATGCTGGGCAGGCGTGGGGAGTGCCAGCCGTATGTTATCGGATCCGGACATAGAGGAACTAATTAAAAGACTAGTTCACGGGAATCTATTCAGTCGGTAGATCCGAGATATAATACAAGGCGACGATGATGGATTCGGCCTTGTCTATTGCCACAGCTGGCGTAATTACCACGGTAAAAAAATTGTCGTGGATACTGTTTTTGATTTTTAGTTTGTTTTTTAAATATTTTATGGGAATGTTTCACTTTAGGTCCCTAAAATTAAGAAATATCTTATAAAACGAAGTAGATATTCTGAATTTTTAGACAAAAACAAAAAGCTTGAAGTGAGGAAAAATGCAATTTTTCGTAATTTTTTTTTTGTAATATTTGCCCTAATTGATTTGTGATATAGTTCTTTAAACTCTGATTTGAGTTTCTTTTTTATTTTTTTTATCTGCAATAAAACTTACCTATATGTTTTTAACATACACAATTACACGTCTCGTTATATCTCCGTACATTATAAAAATTATACACATCATACTGTGAATAGTTCTGACTGACAACGAAACGCATTAGCAAGCAAGAGGGATGTCAATGTTAGTCGGGAACTATTGTGAACTAAATATCTAGTTCAAGGAACTATTCCTCTGGAGGAACTAGAACCAAGGAACTAGTTCCTCCCAAGGAACTAGAATTCCCACCTCTAGTCTAGTCGTCTGTATTATGCTTTAACGAAGAAATATCATAATATTGTTGCGGACCCGTGTGGACTCGGCCTAACCTAACTAACTAATATGTCCCGCCCCCATATGACCTTAATATCGCATTAAAGAATAGACACCGTAATGATTTATTCGAACGTTCGAGAACAATCGAGTTCCACTGGAATGGAGGAGTACATACAAGAACATTCTAAACCTTCTCTATGCACCTAATGATCTAACGTCTAACGGATTATTCTAGAACTGTTTAGCTGTGAGTATATAAGCCGACGCCTGAGGCCTATATACCTGTAGATAAATAGTTATAAATAGTTTGTAAATAGTCCTTTAAGTTTTTTATCGTTATTGTTTTGTTACTTAGTGTAGAATAAATTGTGTTTAAATAAATTGTGACTTCCTATCCACACGGAACCGACGAAAAACGTAACAATATCATTATACATATATCATTATGTACATATTATTAGATTTCATGGAATTATAGTGATAAATTATTTTTATTAGTAAACATATGTAATATAATAAATTTGGGCACAAATTTTTAGTAGTATGTCACTAGAGTAAATTCTGTTAAATTTTACCGGTTTACCAACATTTTGTATGTCAAATATTGATTCGAAAACGCTTTGAATGAGTCACCTGTAATAAAACTAACAGTAACAACTGATTTAATCGAGAGATTGATTTAAAGGAGGCATAATAAAAGCCGTCAATCGTGCTCCGAATAATAAGTTGGTTGACATTTATTACCTGTTTTTAAAAACATCATTCAGTATCTAAACATCATCCATATCTAATATTTTTGTATATGCATTTTTGAGGTATTATATCATGTAAATATCATAGGACGTCAATTCCAACCCATCTTGACGATATAATTATGCCGATAGAGTTTATTTTGTATCATACGGTATATATGTACACTTACACTCAATGGTATAATATTGATAATATGACACATATCTTTGGATGGAAAAATAATAGCGCTATTAGTGTCTACGTTGTACAAACCTAACAACTGTATATCTGTAATGTATAATACACTGTTTTAAACATTTTATTTATGGATGTTAATAACATGCAATATATATAATTTAAGATAGAAAATATGGCTTTATTGAACTAAAATACATATATAAATATCTTTGTGTAGTGTGTAGCTACAAGGTGTAAACAGATAAACATAATATGAATTTATGTATACAGAATGGGTCACGACTAAAAATGTTTCATGATAAAACGACGACCTATTGAGCGAAGTCGATCAGCTTGACTGTGACTAAACGAGGCCAAACCTGCCTTAAATCTCGAGGCTGATCAGTGTGATTTAGCCCATTTAATTTGCATTGAGGCATCAGGTGAAAACAGTTTTCACCTCTTTTGCTTTTTCGTGTGCGCTTAGGCTAAGGGTACCCACATAGTAAGGAATCTCGATTATCATCATCGAAGGATCATCGAATCCCGATCGTTACGAGCAGCCGTTCTAAAGACATTTAGAATGGAAATAGTCAATACCTGTCATTATTGACAAAAAATAAACATGTTGAGTAGATAGTTATTTGACTGAAATTATAAATTTGGGACATTTAAATTTTTTAAAATTAATGATGATTTGATACAAAAACATTTTAAATTTATTCCAAATATCTCGAGAACCATTACTCGTAGCGATTTTTATTAAGAGACCTTTTTTACGTTAAAATGTATATTATTTTACTTAGTAGTTTTATACAGGTACAAACAAAAAGTTATTACTCTTCAAACCAGTTAAAAATATGTAGGTGGCGCCCTCTACGAGTAGGAGTCATATTGACATCAAAATCCAAATTTCTCATGTCAAAAAACTTTTTTCCTGACACCAAATTTCATCCAAATATTTACGATACTTTAGAAATTATCTGGAAAAAATCGAAATAAAAATGAAATTTCTACACCCTATATCTCCGAAACTAAACATTTTATGACATACATTTATACGAACTTTTTTACTTATTTTTATCTATAGAATATGCTGTCGAAGTTTCCGGAATACAGTTCGGACCACCCTGTATATAGTTTTTGCTCATCCTGTACAGGGTGTTCCAGGTCGAGCGTGCATTAGAAGTTTCTAGAGAACTACAATATCTAGATCGGAGATTTTTCCACCTCATTGCTTTACAAGGAGGTCTATCGATTAAAAGTATATGGAAGCACTTCCGGAAATACTGGAAGATGAGAGCAACTTTCTTATTTTAAATAGGTACCCCCATTTTTTATTACATACTTAAATTCTCTGTAAAATTCTATGAATATTGATGTTAAACACTCTATACCTAACATTAACCGTTTTTGAGAAAAAAATATTTAAAATTTTTGGACGAAAAAAACTACCTAACCAAAAATTTCTAGAGTCTCTTTCTAAAAGTTAAATTTAGTGATTACCACAGCCACTGTGACATAGAGAGAAGATAATATGTGGCTGTCTATTTCAAGAATTAAATTGTTGAAATGTCATATAATAATGGCGGTAACTGTCATGGAATTGAGCGATTAAAAAATTATTATAAATCATTTTTTTCAAACGGAAATCGACTTTTTTATTTCACTAGTGAAAAGGTTTTCCAATTCGTTACTTTTTGAGTATACATGTTCTTATACCTAAAATAAATCGTTTTTAAGTTATTTAACTTAGTTTGAAAACGTATATTTTCAGATAACTGAGATTATCCGGCAACAGCGCGACCGTGTTCTAGCCCTTGCCGGCCCGACGACCGTCGTCGTCAGCTGAGCGTCGTCGCTCCCCCTCCTCCCCTCCCTGCCCCCTTTTAGGGCGCCGCCGTCAACTCCCCTAACCCAGACACCGGTCGCTCCCTACAGTGGCGGCGCGGCGCGGGGGGAGCTCTAAAAGGGAGGGGGGACACGATCCCCCCAATAGCCGCATAGCGCAACCGGCGGACGAGCATATTCGCGATCGGTCCACCGTCGAGGACGCTTCGACCGTCCCGCCATCCTCAGTGTACGTTTCTATATGCGGTTTGGGAGAGCATAGGAGGCATCAAACAGGACCTACATTATTTGTTTCCCCCCTAAAGGGGACGCGGAATTGAGAAACATACGCTAGAAACGTTATAAGGCTGTGAAAGGGACTTTTCGGGGTAACAAGGAGGTTAAAACAGGGTAATGGAGGTGAACGGTGGAGTTGTGGTGGAAGAAAAGGGTGCTCCACCCCCTCCGAGTCCGCTAACAGGATGCTACTTGCTCGTGGTGGTCGGGGAACCCCATACCGAGGAGCATAAAGATATTATACTGCAGAGGATAGCTAAGGGTGAGTCCCAAACCGCTTTTTTCGTGATTTTTGTATAGAAATTGTTCATAAAATGATTTAGACGGTATTCTTTTGGAATATAAAGAAAAAACCTTCAGAGAATAACTAAAGTTGAGTCCCACAAGCGTTTTTCCTATGATTTTTGTTTGAAAATCGCAGAAAAACGAATAAAAATATTTTTTTGTGGTACGAATTCTGTTAGTACCCTCTGCGCATATTTGCAACAATCAGCTATTGATTTTTTTCACGTAATTTCACACAATAACTCATCATCAGTGTAAAACCCCGAGTTACATAAAATACAACTCTTATTTAACCCCCCAATTCAGTTTTATTTAAAATACATTTTTTGATTAATTTGAAAAAACAATTTTACACTTATAGAAAAAAAATCAATAGATATTCTAATTTAATTGTTTCTATTAAAAGATGTTCTGATATTATGAGTATGATTTTTTATGTAATGCTGTTAAATATTTAATGAGATAATAAAAAATATAGGTGTTACAAAGGCATGTCAAAAGTTAAAGTCATCGACCATATGATCAAGATATGACGCTTGCGCGCTGGTTTCATCCCTATTTCGATTAAAATTAATATTTGATTAAATAAATATATTATTAATTATTTTATTTCTTAATTTTTGATGTACTTGATACAAGAACGGATGTAAGTTAAAGTAAAAATGTTTTTCAAAATAAAGAATGAAATATTGTGTAACAATAAACCTTCAGCTGCCCTTAACTGTTCTATGTACAGGGTGACCCGTTTTGGTTGAAATCATACATCTTCGTTATTAGTGAAGAATGGAGGGTGCGGTTTGTACAAATCTGTTCCACTTTTTTGTCAAGACGGGTTTTTTGAACTTTTTTGTTTTTTTTTGGATATCTCTGTATCTCTGCTACTGTGAGAGGTATCGAGAAGGTGAAAATTGTTTGTTGTAGCACTTCTTACGTAGAATATAGTGGCGTAGTCTCTTATTCTAGGAAAAGCATATTTTTGAAGATATTAACTAAAGTTATGTTTTCTTAAATATAACACCCTGTATATTTATAAATCATATGATCTGGCTTGCTATGAGCTTTTCAAAATTATATATCATTTTATAAATAAATTTAAAATTTAAATATAAATACCGTCTGATTTCAACCAAAATGAGACATCCTGTATAGCATGTCCCCGGATTGTCTTTACAAGAGGAAAAACATTTTAATTATTAAGTTTTTGAGAAAGATTCATACTTTGTTAAAGTTTTTCTTAAATGGTTAATCCCGTTTACACTTTTTCTAATTTTCATACCGTTTTAGAAAAAAAAAATAAAAAATATGAAAATATGGTTGAATTTTTATTCAAAATTCGCTCGTTGAAAGTACCAAAAATAAAATGCGTTCTATAATAGTATCATTTCGTTTTCATTAATTTTGATTAACGTCATATTTTTTGCTATTTTAAAATGTTAGGCACAACATTTATAATCCGTACCTTTTCCGTAGCATTGAACTAAATACATTTGATTCTTCTTTAAAATATTAAAACAGCAAAAAAAATATGTGGATCAAATTTAATAATAACCATCTATCAAAGAACGAGATAATAATAGAATAATACTACGATCAAAGAGCCTTTTGATTTTTGGGACTATTTAGGGTTCAACTATATTTTCATATTTTTTTATTTTTCTCCAAAACAGTATGGAAATTTTGAAAAGTATTAACGGGATTAACCATTGTAGAACAAGCAAAAACTTATATGAAGAATTGATTTTTCTCAAAAAAGTTGACAATAAAAAAGTTTGTCCACTTGTAAAGACAAGCGACATACTGTATTATACAGGGTGGTCTGAACTGTATTCCGAAAACTTTGGCAACACATTCTGCAGATAAAAACAAGTAAAAAAGTTCGTATAAATATACGTCCTCAAATGCTTAGTATCGGAGATACAGGGTGTAGAACTTTCATTTTTATTTCGATTTTTTCCTAATAATTTATGAGGTAAAGTCAATATTTGGATGAAAATTAGTGTCTGGGAGTTATTTGACATGAGATTTTGATGTCAAAATTTGATTTTGATGTCAATATGACTCCTACTTGTAGAGGGCGCCATCACCTACGTGTATTTTAACTGTTTTGAAAGAGTAGTAACATTTTTCGCCCGTACCTGTATAAAACTATGGAGTGCAAAAATATACATTTTCGTGACTTTTTACGTAAGAAATACCTCTTGGTAAAAATTGCTACGAGCAGCCGTTCTCAATATATTTAGGCTGAAAATAGTCAATACACGTCATTATTGACAAAAAATAAACACGTTGAATAGACAGTTACTTGACTGAAATAATAAATATAGAAAATTTTTATTTTTTTAAATTAATCATAAACTTTTCTGCGAAAAAATTATGATAAAACAGTTTCTGTTAAACTTTTGGCACAAAAACATTTCAAATTTATGATTTCAGTCTAACAAATATTTAGTCAACATGTTTAATTTATGTCAATGGTGATAGGTAAAAAATAAATTTTAATAAATAATAATAATTAAAAATTAAATAATTTTTTTCAATTTAATTAAATCCTTTCATCACTCTTAAAACACTATATATAGTCACTTTGATATTTGCCTTCATTTACCAATATACCAATATAATTACAAATATACAATATAATTTTTTGACACCCTGTATATTGTGTATTAATTCATTGTATATCTAATATAATTATAATATATATCTATAATTATTATCTTTATAATTTCGATTCCAAATATCTCGAGAACCATTACTCGGTAGCAATTTTTACCAAGAGACCTTTTTTACGTAAAAAACTTCGTAAATGTATAGTTTTTTACTCAGTAGTTTTATGCAGGTACGGATTAAAAGTTATTACTCTTCAAACCTGTTAAAAAATATGTAGGTGACGCCCTCTACAAGTAGGACCTATATTGACATCAAAATCAAATTCCTCATATCAAAAAACTCCCAGACACCAATTTTCATCCAAATATTGACATTACTTCATAAATTATTTGAAAAAAATTGAAATAAAAATGACACTTTTACACCCTGTATCTCCGAAACTAAGCATTTTAGGACATACATTTATACGAACTTTTTGATTTATTTTTATCTGCAGATGGGGATTCATGTGGAAGCTTTGCTGTAAAAAAGGTCGAGTTGCCGCATTTATTTATTTATTTCCTGATATTGTCATCCGTTTTGACACTTTCTTTTTGTATTACGATTTTTTGGGTTTAAATAACTAGGGTTCAGATATTTTAAGCTTAAAAATGTTTACTAGCAGACCTTGCAGTGGAACATTGTTCTTTTTAGAACCTCTTTTAGTGCGAAGTGTACCAGATAGCTTAATAGCCGTAAAAAACTCATCTCAACTTTATTACAATATTTTTTTTATTAGAATATTTTATGTCCCTTAAGTGCTGTTAAGATGGTAACATACACTCACCGGCAAAAAAACCGGCCATTAAAAACTAGTCCCAATTTCAAAGTTGGATTTCTCGCAAACCACTCATTATATTTTGATGACTTTTTTTGAATTGTAAATTTATTCCTTCTTAACGGATGCTACGTCAGCAATTTTTATTCCGAATTTATTTTGAGCATATACAGGGCACAACAATAAGACCCAAACTTTTTAACACTCTGTAGGGTGCAGCAGGGACTTGATGGACTTGATGGAAAAGATATAAGGCTCATCAGTAATTTGTATTGGAACCAAAAAGCTGAAATTCGTATACATAGCGTGGGAGTAACAGAAGATTTATAAATAAAAAAGGGGGTAAGGCAAGGGTGTATTCTATCTCCAATGTTGTTCAATTTATATGTGGAAAGAGCATTCACTGACTCAATCTCCGATAGTCCCATTGGTTTGAAAATAAATGGCATTCCAATTAATAATATCCGATATGTGGATGACACAGTGATATTGGCAGACAATGCAAATATTCTCCAAATCCTTCTAAATAAGGTAAACAGTGAAAGCCAAAGACAGGGTTTAAACATAAATACTACAAAAACTAAATTTATGGCTGTTACCAGAAACAATATTCCGAACACCAGAATTTACTTAAATGGAGAGGTCATCAAGCAGGTCACACAATTTAAATATTTGGGATGCATGGTTAACGAAACGTGGTATCCGGATCAGGAGATCAAATGCAGGATCGAACAAGCAAGATCGACTTTTCTGAGACTGCGAAGATTTCTCAGAGATAGGAATTTGAACTTCGGCCTTAGATACAGAATGGTGAAGTGCTATGTCTGGTCCGTTTTGTTATATGGTGTGGAAGCATGGACACTGAAGGTAACAACAATAAACCGAATTGAAGCCTTCGAAATGTGGACCCTACGACAAGGCTAAGAGTGCCCTGGGTCGACCGTGTTAGGAATGAAGACATTCTCAGAAGAGCTGGTCTGGAACAACGTGAACTCTTCAAAATCATCAAGAAGAGGAAAATAGCCTATTTGGGACACATACTACGTGGAGAACGCTATCACTTTCAGCGTCTGATTCTCCAGGGTAAAATAGAGGGGGCCAAAAGGGGGATAGGACGAAGGAAGCTATCCTGGCTGAGAAATATTCGTCATTGGACAGGCATACAGGACTTCCAAGCACTCCAAGTCGCGGCATTTAACAGAACCATCTGATGAGGAAGAAAAAGATGAACGCCTACGCAGGAATCTGCACGGCACCTTAAGAAGAAGGGTGCAGCAGCTGTATTAGCTATTGTTAAATCAAATCATATTGTAGTCTCATCTTTTGTGAGCATTTTGTTTTTTTTTTAATCACGACATTTTGTATTGGAGATACGCTGCTTTAAAACAAACGCCTTGAAAAAAGCTTTAAAATCAAATGAAACATCAGAACGTAACCGTAAACTAACTAAAACAAGAAAATTAAAAAAAAGGTAAAGAAATTTTAAGGGACTAATATCTAGTGTCCACTCGCCTGGTGAAATTTCCCGTTTCCATATACCTATTCCTGGC